GAGAGCCGGCCGCTGCCGGGGCCGGACCCTTTTCCGAGGAGCGGGAGGGCGCCACAAAGTGAAATCCATGAGGATTCTCGGGCTTCTCCTGGAGAAAGGCTCGCATATGCTGCAGTGTCTCTGTGGAAGGCGCCTGAGATCCAGCCACAGCCCAGGTGGGGAGAGCGCGTCCTTGTCCCCGCCGCCCTCGCCTTTTCCCCCGGCTGCTGCTTGCCTGGACGCCGCTCGGCCTGGGCTGCCCCTTTCCCGTCCTTCCCCTTCCTCCTCCTCACTCTCCTCCTCCTCCTCCCGGCCCAGCGCACAGGTGCCCGGCGGGCGCTGTCCGCGGTGCTGACCCTGTCCAGCCCGCCACCCCACTCGCGTCCCTTGTCCCCACACGGCCGCGTGGGGGCCGAGTTGTCCCGGCTTGCCCCACAGCCCCGTGCAACTCTGGCTTCGGCTGCTGCAGCCCGTTGCAAGAGCTGTCTGCGTTGTGTCTCTGTCATAGCATCGTTTCTGTGGTTGAGTTGGGGGTAATTTAAATGCCTCCCCTGATGGAGCTGTCCTAGGAGCAAAGGTGGTCCCTGAAGGGGCCACCTGGAAGCCCTGTTGGCTCCCAGCCTGATGGGAGGGAGCAGTGTTGGAGGCTGCATCAGGATGGGGAGTATGGTGGGGTGAAGGGCTGGTCTTGAGCCGCAGCTAAAACACCTTTTATTTTTATTTTTTTTCTCTTCAAAGAGAATACAAAGCACATGAGTGCCCTGGTTTGGTACAACACTGTCTCTGAGTCTTGGGGTGATCTTGTTAAAGTCCCTTGTTTGGTGTCTTTGTGTTTCTCTTTAACATGTGCTTCTGGAGTCTGACCTGCCCTTTCTACAGCCTGGGTACCTAGAAAGCACCCCCTTGTTGTTGTTCTTATTTAAGATTTTGGGGAGGTTTAAGCACTAACTCTACTGCTTTGAGCTTGATTTGGTTTCAATTCCTACTTGGTTTTCTGCTAGAGTTACATATTGAACCCTGATTCTTGTAGTATCTGGGGGCTCTGACTGCTTACAGGGGTATCTTTCAAACCATCACTTGTTAAAACTTGTGGTGTTTTCTGTCTGAGGTCTTGGTCTTGGAGGAGAAACATTTCCACACCTCCTACATAATTGCTCAGTATTGTCCATTGAAAGAAAGGCTGCTTGGGGAGCCCTATTGCTGAGGTAGTCTGGATTCCCTTTTGGCCTAGCTAAGGAGAATTTGTTACCAGCTAGGGCCAGTTGTTTATACCTCAATTCCCACCTTCCCTCCCACGCAGACACCTGTGTGTGCAAGTTATTGGCTGTGACTGGCTCATAGGAATAGGAGAGGTGTGGGAAATCTATGAGAAAGTGAGCTTGGCTCCCTTGAAACTAGCTAGTTTCTGCTCCACTTTGAAGAAAGATCTGATCATGTTAAATAGAACAAACTTTGCCTGTACTTGAAAGTATCACACAAGTTATTCCCATCTCAGTGGAAAAGGATACAAGGGTTTTGTTCACATTCAGGCATGTGGATGTTTTTGTGTCGGTCATTTGGGAACTCAGACCAATGAAGAGTACAGTAACCTCCTGGTGAAAACAGAGTGGTATCTGCTCCATGAGGATGTGCTAGGGTATAGCTTCAATGAACCTAAAGCTGGTGACAGTGTCCAAATAACTGCCTTCTTGAGCTGGTTTGGTTTTGCCGATAACCCTGTGCTAGGGCATGCTTGTAGATACTGAATGATATATATAAATATATATATATATATTTTCCCCTGTGTTTCTCCTGCTGTCACTGGGCAATACTGAACGTTGTGCCATGTGTGGACTTCATAGTGTGCTGTGGGGAGGCGCAGTCCATGGGAATTATCTGCTATCTGTAGCTGCCTGTGTTCCCTAGGTAGTAGTCCCATGCTAAAAGCCTGAGTGCTCTAGTGGGGGATTATTACCTTGAGTCAGACTCTTCTTAGCTCCATTTTCCCCTTTTTCATTAAGTTTAGGCTTTATATTCTCAAAAAAAAAAAAAAGTTGCCACAAACATAAAAACTGCTGCTCAGGAGGTCACCATGGGCTATAGACCTGCTGGAGGAGAGTCCTCCTTGCTGCTTCATCAAAAGATCAGCATGCGTCAGGAAACTTGTGTATGTTCCTATGACAGCCCAAAATGTGGCAGCATGGGGGGCTATGCTAGTCAGAGGTGTTACAGGGGAGCAAGGGGCACAGGAATACAGACTGCAACAGCAATGGTGTTAGCATGGGGAGACACTTACACATGTGTTCTTGACCCTCCTGTCTGACAAGTTACTGATATAGGATGTTTATGCCAAACCATCTGGCATTTTATGCATTTATGTGTCAGGATGACCAAGCCCTTCCTCCTCCTCCTGTGTGCATTTTGTCTCATTCAGACAAGTTATAGGGGTGTAACTGTGAGCTTAAAATCCAATTCTTGCTCACATACTGTGTGAATCAGAGCCCTGGATCACTCTGACAGAAACTAATGTATAATACTTTGAAGTATGCACTATTGGCAGTGGTTGTAGAATACTCTGCAGCTCTGTTGTGATGCCAACACCACCAAAAAAACCTAACAAGGTTTATGTCACTGTTAAGCTAAGATCTTTAGCCTTTACTGCTAACAGTAGCTTGTGGTTTTCTTATGCTCCGCTTTAGTGTTCTGCTGCCACTTGCCCTAGACTGAACTCTTTTACAGGGACAAACTCTTTTGGTTCTCTTTGAACAGAACTTTGCAAAATGGGGTTTGAAGGGTGTCTAAGCACCACAGTAATACATATAATTCATACTAAAGTGTAGTGAGAAACGTATTCCTAAGCCTTTCTGTGTTACTTCAACTATTTTGGCGCAACAATGTCCTGTACCTTCTTTTAGACACTTCACTTATTACCCAAACTGAAAAATTTGTAAACTGACTAATTTTATTGCAAGCACAGAGGCATTCCTTTTCTGGATGATGTAATTGAAATTGTATTTTAGAAAGTCTTTGACGTTTTAGTTAATATATTTTCTTTGTGAACTTCTTTTCTCCTTTGTTTTGAATGTGTTTTGCCTTTGAAAAATCAAATCTGATTTTGGTTTACAAGTCAATGTTATAAAATAGTTTACCACTATGCTGTGAAGTTCAAGGCAAGCATTAGAAAATGCTTGCATTGGTTTTATAAATGTAAATGGAAAAAATATTCAGGTGACCTGTCCCTGGTTTGCAACTGCTGGATGCAAAAGGCTATGTCCCTGAGGCTTTTGAACTGGTAAAATTTGGAGATGTCCATGGAAATAGGCTGGTTGATGCTAGTTTTATGGCAAATTAAACAATATTTGGAATATCTTTTTTGTACTTCTGCAGGCATCACGGTGCTAAGCGTGATGTTTGGGGCAACAGGGATAAGCACCCTGTCCAGACAGGCAGGGTCAGACAGTTGCCCCACTGCCCGTTACTGCCTCTGCGCGTGTTTGTGCTGGTCGTGAGACTATTTGGGGCACTGTCATAACATGTCTGCGTGTGCAGTGCGTGTCTGCTGTGTGTGCACGTGCAGATGCAAATGGAGTCACACATGTAACGTACAATTGCCTATTCAAAAGCAATGTTTAGTTCATGAGCAAAATAAGCATTTCTTGTGTTTTTGGGGGAAGTGGAGGCTGGAGGAGAGTGGTGCATAGCAATCTGTACATTCATGCACAGTCTATTTGTGCATGTTCTGGGACAATTTTCTCATTGCTGCTTCCTCAAGTAGACAACAGATAATAGTTAGAGCATTTACTCAACAGTGAGCTTCAAATTAGGGGGAACACTAGGTCTGTGTGTGAGAGTACCAAATAGTAAAACTTGTAACTCCTTGCTGAGTTTAGCAAATCTGAGAACCCCAGTGGTCTGTGGCAGTTCACTGTGCATTGCTGGTGGAAGATGGGGAAGGTGACTTAAAGCCAGTGAAAGCGATAAGAGTTGGTCACAAGGCTGAATATACCCAGGCAGTGATGATGTGCTGAGAGGCATCAGCATCTTTTCATTGCTACAGCAGGCCCCTTGCTGCAACTCTAGGCCACTTTTGGGAGCACATCAGTGTCCCCTGGTCCATTTTCCTCAGGTTCCCTCCTCCTGTCACATGTCTTTGGAAAACTAGTATTTGTTGACAAGTGAAAACTAAGAACTTGTGCTAAGTCCTCTTGTTGACAGTTACATGCAAGCTGAAGGAATGCTTTTGTCTGATTTAGCTTAATTCACCTGGGAAATGAATTAAGCAAAACTGTGAAAATTCTTTTTTATTTTGTAATAGGAGCACTTCTCTAGGGTATTATTCAAGAATAGCTATAGCATTTTAAATCCATGCCTGCCTTTATTCTGATGTAACCTTCTCATGTAGACATACACTACTAAGCATCTGTCCTGGAGGCCCACAGTGCTTGTGCATCTCTCTAAACCTTCTCTTCTGACTGCCCTAGAAATGATGGATTTGACAAGAGTTCCTGTTTGGTGAAATTGCTTAGTTTCTATTGTATAGAAGTTTGGAGGTTATAGTGATCTTTAAGTTGCATATGTTTAACTCTTAAGTGTTCAGAGCTAGTTATTTGTAGTTATATGAAAGACAGTCTTTGATCTCATGCGGGATTATACTGGTCACTTTTCCTTAGATACTTCTGAAATCTCCAAAAGAGAGTGTGGGTCTGGAGACTGCCTGTGTGCTAAGGTAGTTTGGTTTGGGAATGGTTGCTGGATCCAGATGATGCTGACCCTGGGCGTGTAGAGCTGAGTAACCGGAATTGCAGAATTTTGACTAGTCTTCTACGTCCTGCAATGTGTCTGGATTCTATCAGAGTATCGCTGATACTGAACCATGTTTGTGAAATCTGTTGGTTTTTACTCACTAGCAAATTCAAGCAAAATAAGATTCTTCTGAATTTTCTTAGCAGCTATAATACGATGATAGACAACACCCTGAAGCAAAAGTTGGTGGTTGTACGCCAGTTTTAATCTGGAGATTTACCAAGGTGTGCAAAGGACATGAAGCTTAACTTCCTCTGCCTTCCAAGCCAAAGGGAAGAAGAATTTGTCTAAGTTAATCACCATGCACAACAGTGACAAGCTGTAAGTCAGCGTGGGAAACATTAAACCCTAACTTTGTGAAGGGCTTTCCCGGCTTTTCCATCAATTTTCTTGA